TACATGACTTTGCATTATAGTTATTGCACACTCTTGAAACTACAAGAATTTTTGTCTGTAAGTGACAGGGGACCATATGAGTTTTCTTTTTTCTTAAGTTAAAAATCCACCTGTATATTGATCTAGCAATTGTACACCCTGGTGCCTATACAAGAGAAATAGAATCAAACGCTCAGAAAAGCTTACACAAAAATGTTCATTGCAGCCTTATTCATAATTGCTGAAAGCACAAGTCAGCCCAAATGTTCATCAATAAAAGGAGAAATTTAAAATTTGTGGCAGATTTATATGGTGAAATACAACTAAACAAGAAAAAGGAACAAACTACTGATAGAAAAGACAGATGGATTTTACAGACACTATGTTGAGTGAGAAAAGCAGGATACACACATAACACATACAAACACAAAGATACAATGTATGATTACATTTATATAACGGACAAGAAAGACTAAAGTAATCTATTGTGATGGAAGTCAGAAAATGGTTGATTGAACAAAACACTTAAGACGTGTCTTTTTTTGTCTATGATATTGCAATAAGATCTTTAAGCTAAAATAAGATAAAATTTTCAATGCACAATATTTTATATTTTCTCCAACATGATTTATGCCATTAGTTTGCTAATAACTTAAGCACAATCTGTTTGGTATTATTAACAATAATCAATGACAATTTATTTTTCATATTGTCTTGATGATTGCAATTTTATCTCCACTTGCCTTCACCTTTCTGATTTGTCGTTGTTTTTCTTTTTTTCATTTATTTTATTGTAAAGATGTGGGTACAATTCAGGATTAGGTATAAAAGTGGGCAGCGTCCAGGTAAGGTTTGGGCCTCCCTTTGGTCCCCAGTTTGCCTGGTTTGAGATTAGTGAAACATGACTGTGAACTACAATTTGAACATCCATTTGTTTGGTGAGGTGGCCGATTAAATCTTTTGCCTAAGTTTTGAAATTGGGTTTTTATTTTAACACTGAATTTTGAGAGTTCTCCGTATATTCTTGATCAATGTTTTCTATCAGATATTTGCTTTGCAAATATTTTATCTTAGGTTGCAACTTGTCGTTTTTACCCTCTAAGCAGTACCTTTTGAAGTTAAAGGATTTTTATTTTAATTAAATCCAATTTACTAATATTCCAATGTATAGGTTATGTTTTTCACAAAAAATGTTGTCTTATATTCTTTCTAGAACTTTTGTAATTTTTAAAACATTCTTTACTGTTTTACATTATGAATACATTTTGTATATGCTACAAAGTATGAATCAAAAGGATATTTTGTATATTATGTACACCCTGTTGTTTCAGAATAATTTGTTAAAGGAACATTTTTTCTCCATTGAACTGCCTTTATAACTTTTTAGAAAATTAGTTGTCTATAAATGCAAGGATCTATCTAAATTCCTACTGTTTCACTGAGTCATTTGACTTTATGCCAACATTACACTGTCTTGACTAACATAATTTGATTACCTATGTATTTATAATAAGCCTTGAAATTAGGTAGCTTTAGTTCATGAACTTTTTTTTTTCCCCAAAGATTTTTGAGGAATTCTAGGTCCTAAGCATTAACTTAGGAATTTTAGATTCAGATTCTCAACTTCTACAAAAACACATACTATAATTTGGACTGCATTTGAAATGAATCTACAGGTCAATTTGGTTAAGATTGGTTTCTTAACAATACTGTGTCTTCTGACACAAGAACACAATATGTATTTACATGTATTTAGGCTTAAAAAATCATTTCACTAATGCTTTGATGATTTTAGTGTGCAGGTTTTAATATACCTTTTGTAGGTTTATCTCTAAGTACTTCAGTAATTTTTATGCTATTCTAATTTTAAAAATCATTTTCCAAAAGTTTGTTGCTAACATACCTGTAGATAGATCTTTGATTTTTGTATAGTAATCTTGCATGCTACAGTTTTGCTATACTTAATTATTGACTGTAATAACTATTTGTATATTTCATCATATTTTCTACATACATGATCATGTCATGTGTGACTAAAGGCAGTTGTAATTATTCCTTATTGCACTAGCTAGAACATCCAGTAGAATGTCAAAGAGAAATGATAAAAGTAAACTTTTTTAATTTTTTAATTTTAGAAGATAGTGTTCAGTGTTTTTCTGTAAACAAGTATTAGGTCTTCATTTTTAATCCAGTCAGACAATACCTGTCTTTTAATTGCAATGTTTAGAATATTTACCCTTAATTATACAAATATATGTATATTGAGGCTGAAATTCAAAATCTTCCCTTTTTTAAATTTCTTGTCCCACGTGTTCCTCTTCTCCTTTGTTCTACCTTTTTTAGGTTTATTCATGATGATTCAAGTTTATCTATTTATGTGGTATTATGTGTTGTACTTGTTATTTTGGTGGTTGCTTTAGTATTTTTAGAATATATCTTTGACCTAACTACACTAGTTTCACATGAGATTCTACCCTTTCACATGTAGCATTAAAACATCACTTATAATATTATATTTTCATTTTTTCCTTCCCAGCCTTGGTTATTGCTGTCATACATTTTTCATCTACATAGGTTATAAACCTCTTGTTACATTGTTATTTTTAAGACAACTATATTCTAAATATATTTCAGTAAAAACAAATATGTATTATTCATATAGTTATTTCAGTGCTCTTCATTTTGATATCATTCTTTTTAAAGGTATCCCACGGCTCACTGATACTCTTTCACTGCTATAAAATCATGTTTCTTTCTTTATTATCTTTTGTATAAGTTACATTACTGTCTTCAAGTTCACTAGACTTTACTTTTGTAATATCTAGACTGCTGTTAATCTCATTTGGTAATATATTTTTCATCTCAGTCTTGTAAGTCTCATCTCTAGAAATTAAATGTGAGTCTTTTTATATCTTCTACATATCTACTTAACATGCTCAACCAGTGTCCTAGCTTTTTGACATATGAAATATGGTTATAATGGCTTAAACACCCTGATTTGCTAATTCTAAAAAACAGTTGCATCACTTCTGGGTAGGTTCCCATTGATCAGCTTTTCTCTTCCTTGTGAGTCTTATTTTTCTGCTTTGTTATAGACCTGGTAACTTATTGGCTTCTAGACTTAGTAAATGTTGCCTTTTTTGGTACTCATATTTTTTTGTTTTTGTAAATAATATTGAGGTCCTTAGGGGGCTGTTAAGTTATTTGGAAATAATTTGATCATCGTAGGACTTGAATTTAAGATTTTTTTTAAACTTGAAAACAGAGCAGCATTGAGTTTTAGGCTAACATGACCTCTCACCCAAGGCAAGGTACATCTAGTACACTATCCAGTGACCTGTCAGTTATAAGACTTCAGTCTAGCTGATGGGAACAGACACTATTTCTTGCAATTTGTGGGCTCTGAGTCTTGTTTCTTTTCAGGTAGTTACTTCCTTGACCTGAGATAGTTTCCTAGATTGCGTGTGCTGATTATTATTCAGCTGAGCACTTAGGAGGGGCGTGTCTCTTTAGAACTTTAAGGGTCTTCTTTGTGAGGCTCTGTCCTCTGTGCTACACTGCCCTGTGAAATTCAATCACCTTGGTCTCTCAAGACATCTCATGAGCTGGCCCTGGTCAGACTGGGTTCTTCTCCCTGAACTGTAGCTTGTGAATGCTCTCAAGATAGCAGGCTAGAACAATATTAGGGTTCATCTTGTTTTCTTCCCATCGTATGTGTGTGTGTGTGTGTGTGTGTGTGTGTGTGTGTGTGTGTGTGTGTGTGTGTGTGTAGTTTTTAATTAACTTAAGCAGTAAGGTAAATCTGACTCCTGTTCCTAAGAAGTGACATGCCTACAATGATTTGTTTGTAATACTATCCAGTGAAAAGGTGAATATATTTGTAGGACAGTATTTCCAGTGGAAGCATTGGTTGGCACTGTTTGGGGGTGGCAAATCTGCTCTATCCATTCAAATCTCAACAAAAGTATATATCTACAACCCAGAAATTTTTTTGATGTACTTATACATTGTTTTAAAGAATTTTACTAGTAAGCATTTGGCATTAATGTAACATATAGTTTAAATACAAAAAGGATTTATAAAACAACTAGATGGTTTGCAGAGCCCAGTGCCAAGTGAATATGTGGAACTTTCAAAAAATTATCAAAATTTAAGATGGTAACAGGAGAGCATCAAGCAAAGTATAGGATCAATTTAAGAACAATTGCATAGATGGCACACCTACAATGTCAGCTCTGGCTTATACACATATTTACCTGGGTTGTAATTATATATTATAAATAAAAATGGAAACAAAATAAGTTCCTGGATAGTTTGATAGTTAAGAGATAATGGAATATATAAAAAATAACATATTACGAAATTATTAAAATTTATGGTAGAAGACTCTTCAATTTCAACTATTAACTTTTACAATAAAGCATGCTGTGGAATGCCCAGTAGTCCTGTGTATTTAGTGTGAAGTCTCCATATGAGAATATGAGAAATGATGTTAGAAAGATTTTGAAGGATCTTGCCTATCTTGGATGCAATCAAATGCTTAAACCTCATCCTTGTGGCAGTGACAAACTATGTGCATTTTAAAACAGAAGGATAATATGATCACATCTGTATTTTAGAAAAATCCCTATCCTAGTGGTTCAATATTTCCTAATAATCCTATCTACAAATGAAAACAACCCACTAAGTGACTTTTTTTTTTTTTTTTCGAAAGCAGGATTTTGAGAGGCGAGAAAAGCTCCCAGAGCAGGAGGGGACCCAAAGGGATTGCCTGATTTTATTTTTAACCAGCTTTATATCTGCCTCTGTTTTCTTCTTTTTAATCAGTCTTCTCGTCATTGAACCAATTCCCATGACTTCCACAGGTTTCTTTCCCCGTGGGTTCGTTAGGGAACATCCTTTCTCAGGTTAGCTTCACCTCTCAACTTCCACAGTTGGCTTTAAAATGTCTTATTTGTAAACATTTAGAATAGATTTTACCATAGTTTGTTATAGTTTTGTATCTCCTTTTATTCTTTCAGTGTGCTCGGTATGACAATGCCTTCATCGCAGAGATCCTGATTGACAGAGGCGTCAATGTCAACCACCAGGATGAAGACTTCTGGACACCCATGCACATTGCCTGTGCGTGTGACAATCCTGATATCGTCCTGCTTCTTGTACTAGTAAGTAAAGCAATTTGGTTCATCTACCATTTGGAGATTTGTTGGCATAGAAAAGTAGCATATTAAAGCATAAAGTATAAAGTAGCTTTTTAATACAAATAAAGCATAGTAATATTTTAAGAGACATAATACTTTACGAGACATAATACTTTGAGAAAAAATGTGGATATAATATCATTTATTCACCTAGAATATAGGATAATTAGAGTCTAGGGCTGTGGGTCACAGTTCATTAAACAAATTGTGCAAATTTCTACTCCTCTTGCCGTTCCTTGGAAATTTTTGGTCTTGATAAAAGTCATTCTTAACTAATATGGCTGAATAACAATGTTTTTCAACTCATTCTCCTTTTAAAATTTTCAGCCAAAAAGGCATAAAACTGTAAAGAGATGTGGCTTATATTGAATCTTCTTTTTTTGGCTACATCTAGTAAAGAAATGTCTAAACATTTGTTTACATAAAAATGAAACTGCAAATATAAAAAGCATGAAGTTTGTTTTTGTTTTTAGTTATATTTTACACCCTGACATGGATTCTCACACACATTTTAGTTTGGAATTGAGGTGTTTTTTTTTTTATAATTGGTTTATCTCTAAAACAGATTTTAAGAAATTATGGAAATTATACAGAATTTTTAGAAAATGTACTGGAATATAAGAGTAAGAATGATTTCCTTTTTTTCCTCTTTATTAATATCTAATATTTTAGTGGTTTGCTGTTATGTACCAAGGTTTTCACATACATTATTTCACATACGCTCTTGAGATTTTACACACAAGCAATTTGATGCTAAAATATATTAAGCAACTTGCCTTTGGCCAAAAAATAAGCTAATGATTCAAGCTCAAGTTTACTGTCCAAAGTCCATTCTTTTTTCACTGAGCTGTGCTGTCTATATTAGGTTCCTGTGTCTGCCATGAAAGATTACCAATAGTTGGTGACTGAACACAAGAGAAATTTATCCTCACATTTCTATAGGCTAGAATCTTGAAACCAAGGTGTTGACAGGGTCATACTCTCTCTGTAGGTGCTACAGAGAAATCCTTCCCCGATGATCCCTAGTTAGAGTGGCCCCTGTTATCCTTAAGGGTTCTTGGCTTGTAGTGGTATCATCCCATAAGCATGACTTTCTTCTGTGTCTGTGTGCCCAAATCTCCCCCTCCATTCTTTCACAAAGACACAAATATTTGTATTTAGGACTCAACCCAATGCAGATGAACTCATCTTAACTTGCATACATCTTCAAAGACCTTGTTACCTAATAAAGTCACATTCGCAGACATTAAGGTGCATATCTTATTGTGAAACACAGTTACATTCACTACACTGCAACTCTTTCTCCCTTTTAAAATTATGAGTAAAAGTGTTTTAGGATTAAAGACTATGAGTTGAGGCTTTCTTAACCTTGGATGAGGCTTAATTTTGTCTGGTTTTCCCTGATATTTGTGTGTGTGTGTGTGTGTGTGCTTACAGTAGACATATATTTACAATAGAAATATATATCTACAGTAGAAATATATGTTTACAGTAGACATTTACAGTAGAAATATATGTCACTAAAAATGTGTTCCTTTCAAATCCTGGAAGATGGAAGCTATATAAAATTAATAAATGCAGGAAAAGAAAATAAGATTACTTAAAATAAAATAGAAACTTTTGTACTTTACATGAAAAAACATGAAGAGTTACTTAACTCATTCAAAAGACAAAAGCTTCATTTTGTAGAAATAAAGTCTAAGAGACACTAAATTGACAATATGGCATAAAGGCTGTGGGATTTCCTCAGTATTGATGGAAATTGTAAAACATATTGCAGAAAGAAACCAAATCAACTTCTGAGTGCTGCCATGAAATGACCAACTTTAGAACACTCTAGAATGCTCAGAACTCATAAACACTAGGTTGGATCCTTTGAAAGAGGGTTTAGTCCATAGTAATTGTTGATATATATTTTTTGTAGTTTAATCAGTAGATGATTTGGGAGAAAAGAGTTGCTTTAATCATATGAAAACGGAATAGAAAAGTTTGATTCATGGTGTGTGTGTGTGTGTGTGTGTGTGTGTGTGTGTGTGTGTGTGTGTGTGTTTTAATGTCTGATTTACCATTTTCTAACTATCGGTTGGGTGAATCAGTAACTTTTTCAAAGCCCGTCTCTATTTTATATAACTAATCATTATTCACTACACTAAGTCTTTGCCTGAAGAAACTATTTTTTCCTGCATGCAAAGTGGCCATACTTATTCACAGGGATCAGTATTCATGTGGCTATGCCTAAAATTTTTAAATCTTTATTTCATCATGTCAATACAAATCACTGGAAAAAAGACTTTACTTTCTTGAGTTCAAGTAGGTTTGTCATATCTTAGTTTTACTATCAGCTGGATAACTTTTCTCTATTCTGGAATGTCTGTTTCTATTTCTGATGGAACAGGACAAGAGGATCGACCGTCTTTATATAGTCTCCACTGAGTCCAGGTCTAGGCATCTCATAGTATACAATCAAATATTGCAGAAACAGTCCAGAGGTGATGCACCAAATCCAGACACCCCCAAAAGCAGAGATAAATCTCAAGAAAAAGAGCTTACTATGTAACAGTGTGTGATTTCAATGTGCAGCAGTTATAACTACATGTAGATGACTCCCTTTCAGGATACGGGAGACTGTTACCACAGGAGGCAAAAATATCAGTCATATAATTTCTGGAGTAGAGGTAGCAAACCACTTAGACCATGCTGAACACAAGAATGAAGTATGTTTATAACCAGAGCTAGGATTTGGTCAGGCCACCAGGACAGGTATGTAGGGTATCAATAAACAAGGTATAATAAAAGTATAACAATAAATTAGATATGTAGTGGCAAGTTATTTAGGTCTCCCTTGTGGCTTCTTGCATAACCAAGGAAATTTATATTAGTTTTCTTCTCGTTGAGATTAAACAGCATCTTTCAAAGGCAATCACTCAACAATGGTAGCAATCCTAGTTCCCAAAGTAAATGTTTAGAAAAAGGATAATTATTTGAAGAAGTACCAAATTATTGTCCCAACTGAAGATACTCTCATGTCATTATAAGAGTCAACGGCAACTCATTCTGACTTGCAGAGTTTTATATACTCTATTTTTAAAATTTTATTTCATCCTCCTGTGAAAATTAATAGCACATTATCTGTGTTCTTTGATGTTTCACTTCATCGTAAACTTTGTGCATGCTTCAATAATGATTCATTGTTCTCTTTGTTCTTATGAGATACAGTTTCTATAACTCCTGTTTGTTCCCATAGCAACAACTCAATCGTATTAATGGCCGGTTGCCTTTATAAGAAACATCTCTTCTGCCTGAAGCAATTTGGTTTATACTTAATAATTCTATATCTGACATACACCAGCAGTGTTGAGTTGACTAAGTAACTTCAAGTTTGGCACGTAATAAATAATTAGCTTTTAGCAAGTCACAAAAGTGGTTAAGTAGTGCATATATGACTATTTGCTAAAACAGTGACCAGCACTTATCAGAAACTTAGTGTATACTTGCTGAATACATGAATCAACAAATGAAAAAAATGAAAGGTCAATTTTTGAAAGTCAGCCTGAAAATATTAACTCATATCTAATAAAGGCTATCATATCGGCCCATTCATCCTTTTGCATATTCTAGATTTCTTTATCTCACTCATTCTATACTTGCGTTAGAAGAGCTTGCTTCAGCATATGTGTTATCCCAATGTCTGATGATACTACTTTTTCTTACCAGATGGAATTGAGAAATAGAAACTATCCGTATGTCATGTGTGTTCATAAAGTTAGACATATAATTTTCCAGTTATTAGCAACATTTTTATGGCTCTGCAGTGTCCTTTTTCTCATTACATAGAATAGTCTAGTCTAAAATACCGAGTAATATCTACTAGTTTCCCTCTTTCAATGACTTTTTATTAAGTGATCACCATCTTCACTTAACTAACAAATATCAATTGATCACTAACTATATGTCAACACAGGGCTTGCCATGAAGAAGATTTCAGTTTATTCATTCATTCATTCATTCATTCAGCAAGTATTTATTGAATGACTGCCATATTCTAGATGCTACACAGTGAATAAGAGGACATTTTATAATCTAGAATAATGGTGAAAACAAACAATGCAATTAATAAAATGAATTCCCGGGAAATTTGATTAATGAATTAAGCAAATCTGAGTAGCGATATTCATGTCATGTTATAGCCAGCCTAAGTATCCATCACAGAAATAATTTGCTTTTAAATAAGTATAGAGAAAATATGCTGTCATAAAAATTCTTGTTACTCTAAAAATATATTCCTGTCAACAACCACAAAGGAGAAATTTATCTTACTTACCTAAATAAATGCCATTGTACATTGTTTAGGGCTGCGTGTCCAATCTTCTTTCCATTTTGCAAAGCTTAATGATGGGTCCAAGAGACTGTGAAGCATGTATTCATTTAATAAATATTTGATCCTGTTCTGGGTATAATAAAGGGAAACAATTGTGAACAACATAAGCAAAATCTCTGCTGACCGGAAAAGCAGGTAAAAACCAATAAATGACTAAAATATACCGTCTATCAATTAGTAAGACATCTTGAAGGGGGCACGGAGAAAGGACGAGAGAGCATTAAGGAATGGCCTGATGGAAAAGGTGACTTGTGAGCTGTGAGCCACATGGACGTGTGGACCCAGGTATGCTGGCAGGTGGAAAGCTCTGTGGCATGGTTTCAGTGTTGGAGCAACCAGCACCGCAAAGAGACCAGCACTGCTGCAGAGAAGTGACAGAGGGCTGGGTGGTAGATGAAGAAGTCCCTTGCAAGGTCTTGAGCATCAATGAATACTTTCACCCAGATCATTAGAAAGGACGTTGAGGAGTTTTGAACAGAGAAGTGACATGATGGCACTTAAGCGTAAGAGGATCATACTTGCTGCCCCAGTGGGGCTAGACCAGGGGAGGAGAAGTACAGAGGACATTTAGGTCCTTGTCACTACC